GCCGTAAATTGTTTTAATTGAGGACAAGGATGTCGAGCTGGGGCCGTGGCGTGCGACTGCGGTCGCAGGCTCTATCCAGTTTTAATTGATCGTATTCACCTGTTGAGATCGGCGATCCGATGCCCTTGCGGAGTCCCCCGCTGACGTCACTGCGGTACACGTTATGTGGACTTCCGACCGGATAAGTTTAGCACATCACTAGCACTAGGAAATGTGTCGAGTTGCGAAACTTCGGAGGTCGCCGGCAGAGAGCGCCGTCGCCGCGCGATCACTGAAAACTAAACCCGCGCACACTATCGCGCACCATGCCGCGCCGCGTCGCCGTCGCCGGCGCAACGACGAAAGCGCGTTAGAAAGGGACGAATAGTCATTTCTTTCGTTTTGACTGGGCATCGATAAGTAAATAGCAGCTTTCATATTGATGTGATAACCAATGAGCCTTGTCGGTAAATTTAAGCTGGTTTTGCATGTTTTTAAAACTAACTCTTTTGTATATAAAATGTCTTGTTCAAAAGCATCTCTTTAATTTACAATTAGAAAGGCATCAGATATCCAAAAGCATTTTGAAAACGTTGTGCATAACGACTGCATAACATAATTATTCGTTGGAAACGTAATTAAACCTGAAGTGATCTGTGATCGCAAATTTTTAAATAACTTCCTTGCGAGGAGCGTGTAATCAGGAAATATAGGCAAGGTTTATCAGTTTGCGTAGGTACGCGCACCCGTGCGGAACGCGCCGTTGATTTTCCGCTAACTTTTCACCACACGTAACGGGTCGCGGATGTCAGACTTGGATGCAGGCTGCCAGCATTGTGCCGGTTATGTAAATAAACGATTAAATATAGATTACGTCATTTTAATGCGTCCGTTTGACTTTTTTGATGACATTTTAATAAAAAAAATGATATTATGGTTCTTTAATGAGCACGAGTTGCATTCAGGAAGGCTGCTTTCAATATATTGATCGATTAATGGTAGCAAATTCTGAGATCTTAACATAAATCGTACAAAGGTCACCATGACAAACACTAATGAACTGACCTGCATTAAATTTACATGAGTTTTAATATAAATCAGGCTAAATTATATAAGTGTCAGTGAAGTAAACAGACCGTGCAGCTTATGAGAAGACACGGACCGTTGACTTTGTTTGAACATTCCATTAACAGAATAAATTGTACCTCTAGAGCGATTCCGAGGATAAAAGTGAAGCGATTAAACGATGAATTTATTACTTTTGTTTTGAGTATTGTGCAATTATGGTAAATAGTGTTTTGTTCGTTCTTTTATTCGTAACAATACGTTTAAATAACTTTTTTCGAAATGCATGTTGAATTTCGTTCGTTTTGTGTAGTGACAATTATTTTGGAACGTAATAAGAGGACATTGACTTAAGTCTTTGAAACGCTTATATTTTAAAGATGACGATAACGTATGATATGTCGATCATCCCTTTGGTTCTGTGCTTTTGTAGACGTTTTTCCATATCCACCAGACATACACGCTTTTTTGTCAATTCTGACAATTTAAAAATAAATGTTCATCTACAGATTATATTTTTAATAGCTCCAATGTAAACAGTCCTTTAGGAAGTTAATATCCAGGCTACATTATACGTCTTCTGCCAGCAAAGAGATAAAATGTTAATTAAATATATTATCGTTGGATTGATCGTATCGACAGATTAATGTGTTTCAATCAATTTAATGTAGGTACTGCAATATAAATTATCCAATGTAAGTACTCAATATAAACATACAAAGGAAATCGTGAAAGGAATTGAATTTTGTTTTAGTGAACTAAAGTACAGCTATTACTGTGTATCTTTTGTTTGTTTGGTCTTGTGCATGCATTGTGCAATCCCCACATTTACGTGTTCGCTATACTTATTATCATGATTGATGTGAAACTAGCTTACTCAAACTAAATAATAGTGAGGTACGTTAGGAAACTCATACTTTGGCATTGATATATTAAACTCGAACGTCGGTCTTAGTCTTTTGTTACAAATACAAGAATACACTGCATTTACTGTATTCTTGACAGTGTTTATTCGCAAACGTTTCCGTGTGTGACATTGATTTATTTTCATTCTGAATATATCATGATTTATTTTTATTTTGAATACATTATTTCTAATTAGTTTATTTATATTATAGATTTTGAACAGAGAATATTCTAGATGTGTAAGTTTGGGTATGATAATTAATTTCATGAATAAATTGTTTGGTGTGTTTTTATTAATCTCTCGATCAATTCCCAGCCTGGGTCACGGTTTTCTGTTTCAAAATTATCAGTAATAACGATAGATGTATAAAAAAAAACTCAGCTTGTTCCTTTTGGGAAGGACAGGCGCAATGTTCGAATAATTAATTTAATAACTCGAAGTTCGGTAGATGTAACTGTCTCAGCTGCCCGTTACATCTAGATGTTCGTGTCAATACTGACTGACAGATCCAATTATTCGCAACATGTTCTGATTCTATACAAAATGAGCATTTAAATGGGTTAGGGGTCAAACTGTTTATTGTTAAGATCAAAAACCTTGTGTTTGATTAGTTTTATTACAACCTTTTGTGCCAGAAGCCCGCAGGCTGTGAAAGTAAGTTAATTCAGGCAACGATCATAATTGCACTTTTGATATATTAAGTTGCCCCTCTAGGTGTATTGTCAGTTTTATGGTGCGCTGTGTCAGTGAGGGGTTAGGTAACTGTTGGAGCGCTCTACGTGACTCTGTCCGTAATTATCAACAATTATGTAGATATCGTCTGCATAACGCACCGCTGACAACCTCCATACCATAAATAATGAAGCAACAAGAATGTAGTTGTGCATGTCACGTTAATTTACAAAGTTATTATTCTGTAATGGTACCTACTTGAGAATTTGCAAAGAGAAATCTCAGAGACCGAAGACCTTTGCGCGTTGAACTCTAATGTACGGAAGTTGTAACGCTACGAGACGTACGACAAGTCGCGGAGAACCTAACGGGTAACCGGGGCTCCGGCTCGACGTGCAGGAGAAGGAACGGGGTGGTTTTTAGTCAGTAAGAGTCTGACACTCCCTCCCGCCTCACCCAGGCGGGGGCAGTCATTCGATGATTTTCCCCCCTTAAAAAAAAAAAAAAAAAAAAAAGACGTACGACAAATGAAGTAAATATTTTACTTATTTTCTTTTATATTTTAACCCAGTTATAAATCGTTTATCATTTCAAAAGAGACATTAAATACTTTGTCATCTGTAGAGCTTTATGGTGAAAAGACGAAAATTGAATATATCTCATTTTTTCGTCATGATGTTGGCTAATTTGTTTATTCTTTTTTGCTTATGAGACAGCATTAAAATCACTAAAATCTGTGAATCAGTTTGCTTATTATTTCCAGCCATAAAAAAGAAAATAGTACTTACCTTAACAATTTATTCTTTACATTCGATTATTGAATACACTTAAACAACGCCAATACATTAATTCTGCTAACAGAATAACTACACGAACTGTGAAACCGCAACGAAATAAATGCAGCAGAACTACCTCTATAACTTACAAATAGAGCCTGCAATTGAGATCCACAATAGAAACATTATAAATTATAGTTCAAATAGGTGATGATGATTGCCACTTTATTCTGAAGGTAGCAATTTACGTTTAGAACTTTATTGCATCTACATAGCTCTCATTTCAAAAACTACTTTATTTTGCTTTTAAGTGAAGGAAGGATTGAAGGCTATACGTATGTGTGTACCTATAGTCGTTAGGCATCATCGTAGACCGTACAATGCACATCAAAACATAGACTCTATGATCGGATATTTTTCAATTACGGCTGAAACAGATTTTTTTGGCAATTTGTATGTAGTTTCTGTCAAAATTTTTGATTAATCTAGATATTTTAGATTGTGACCGGTTTTAAATTTCACACAAACGGTGGAATAGAAATATCGTGTGAACGAATGAATGAAACATGTATTGGTACAGTCTAGATCAACTGAGTACAGGATGGTTTTTAATCAGTAAGAGTTTGAAAATCCTCCCGTCTAGATTGAGGTTCAAGGAGAAATTAGACGATATTGCCCCCCTCAAAAAATTATAGTGATGATGGAGTATTTTGACTCGCACTGTACTTCTATAAATAAGAGCGGTTAGTTTGGGTGCAATATGATGTTGTACACTGATGTTGTGGCCTTAATTGATGGACTTTAGTTATTTGTTCGTATACGCCGTGCTGTGTTGTACATACCTACTTAATACATAGACACCATATACAGATATGTTTGATGAACTATTATTTAAATCCGAGATAGATTGGACTCTGTACATGTAGTCTATATTTGTCGACCATGGTTTGATTAATTATATTACAAAAAAACTCTAGGTAATAAGTAGTAAATACACGCGTTGAGAAATAGTTATGTATCTTATGAATGACTACCTAAATTAGATACTCTGTACACAGTCACGGACCTCGAAAAACAATCAGAAACACATAAAACGGTAATAAAAGATGTCAGTGTAAATTTGAGACCGTGTTTCGGTTGAATCAAAACTAGTGCACGATCAATGTTCAGTGCGATCGTGTGTCACGAGCCTGCAAGGCTATTGTTGCACCTTTTACTTTGAATTAAGAGCGAGGAGCCTCGAATTACAATCCATAAATAATCCAAGAACGAATTTAAGGTCTGGGAGCAATCATACAGTTGATATAATGGTACAGTTATTAAATATCGTAAAGCACTACTGCATTACCTTTCAATCAAGATTTTATGGTCCTGTGTAATTTTAGACCACTTTTGGTTTTAGAAATAATTTTACGTTTGTTAATAACTGTGTTAACTAAGTTATTGTCAAATATGTAGTGGCAAAGCATTTAACTGTTAAACATAATTCGTGAATATGTTACCGACTTCTTCATCAGTAAAAAAACAAGTTCGTTGTTCGAGTTTAATGAATGATAATAAGTTTCCTGTAAGACATCTTCAGAAAAAAACAAAACTCTGTGTATAAATATTTATTTACAATAAATTCAACATAAGAATACAATTACACTAAAGCCAATACAATTTATACATTATTTACAATACAGCTCTTTAGAGCACCGTTGTATAAATAACACAATTTAGATCGCAATGAGTATTATATTTACTAACGTTATAAACTATTTAATGATTTTTTGTACATTCAAATGCGCGATTGATGTTTTTGTACTACATCATTGTTCTGATTCATAAAAGCATACAATACTAAAAAATAAATAAATTAGGTTAATCTAAGTTTTACAGGAATGTCTACAATATTCGTCTTGAGCATTTCTGTTAGCCAATAAATACCGATCGATATGATAATATGTTTGGATTCAACAAAAATGGTTTTACGAATACGGATTAAAATTTCAAAAGCAATTTTGTATTTAAGTAACACAATGTAGGACGAAACAGCGAATCAAAAGATTAAATAACGTCTCACTCAAAAACATTTAAAAAATTGTTACATAAATGAAGTGCTTTCTATTTCTAACATTTGCGGTTTTTAAAACTGCTGAGACTGTGATTATGATTACCTATTATATTTCAAAACGTGTTGGTATAATTGGTAACTGAGGCTTGTATATCACCAATTAAATATTCAACATAAATAATGTTTATTTACAAATTTTACATAATTGTTATCGATACATTAGTCCGTTTCGCCCTACATATTATCATTAGCCAAGACGGCAACGAAATATATCTACATAATAGAAATGTATGTATACAATATTATCCGAAGTTCTCGAAGTGATGTATGAAGTAAGGCAGGCGCCTCGTCCTGTTCACTTGTTCGCACGCAGACATCACGGATTTGGTGAGAGGACGGGGACCGCACGAGAAAACACCGATTTTTGATACCTGAGAGAAACAGTTTGTTATTACTGACAAACGGTTTATGTGTAAAACATTTTACATATTCACTAACATATTAGTGTAATTAAAGTCAATGTACTCAAATATTTTTCAAACACAGAAGAATCAATATAACTGTACAAGACTTGGTCTACAGTGCAGGTCAAGGATTCAAATGATATCATAAGAGAATTAAACTGTCAAACACCAAGCGGTCACCGGTGACCGCAACCTATTGTTCTATAATTGTGTCTATAATGACGGTACTCGATGAGTTAAATCAGACAAAATAATAGTATTAAAAACTCACATAACTATGTTTCTTCTGAACAAACTTGAGGAAGGAGGACATGTCTGGCCTCCCAAAGTGATTCACCGCCTTCAAGCCGGTGAACATCGACGTCCGTGACAGACGCTGGAAGTGATTCTCGCAGATGTACTGTGGGACAAAATAATAATAATAATAAAGTTGTGTTAAAGGATATTTTTGGAACTACTATTTATTTAGATAACATCAATATTGCTTCCAGTCACTCAGTCTGATTTATTGAGAGCAACACTGCCGTTTAAATTACTTCAGATATTACAATAATTTTGAAGGTCATGCTGGATCTGTTGACTGTAATATTATTATTGCAAAAGGGCAATGAAAAAGAGAGTGAAAATGTGATTAAAAAAGAGTATTTTACTGTCTAATGTGCGTTTGTATAAGGTAATAAAGACTAGGTTGAAGTAAGCGTGGTTGTTGTAAGATTGAAGTTACTCACCAGCATAGTGGTTCTGAGATCGAACTTGTGGAAGAACTGCGTGATGAAAATGTGTATTTCCAGAACGTTGGTGACGTCCTTACGTTCTACGTCGCGAAGCACGTCGATGAACCACTCGAAGTGTTTGTGTGATGGACATATCCATAAGAAGTATACCTGTGTAATTAAATGAGTAAGATATTATAAACTCCTTTAAAACGTACTGGCAAAGTTATATGGAGTTTAAAAGGTGTTGAAAATCCTAATGTTCTTAGTTTTCTACGTTAGCACATAAAACGGATATGTCTCACTTAACGATGTGACATGAAAATACACTTAGAATGCAACTGACGGAGTTGTTTTAGAGTATTAAAGGCGTTGTATATAGTTGAGATTTGCAAACGTAAAACGTTCTTATTGTTTGGCATCCGTAAGTCTAGGTTACAATTAGGTAATCCATTAATTTAATTGTATATTTAAAATAAAAAACTAAAGGTCTTCCAAAACTTGTATTGAGTAACATTTATTTATCTTGACCTAAGTGCTAGGCAGATATTTCGTCACCGTGTAACTGGTATTACACAAAAGGCTTAAATCCCTAGTTAGAGTCTATGTCATCACTTTGCATAAGGACTGAACAAAACATTGTAGGTCTGTAGGTCAATGTTGTAAACGGTAAGCCACGGTAAGTCGTGAGTAAATATAAATAAATAAGTTCCAAATTCCATTGAATAATTACGTAATCTTGAATTTGTTATTAACTAAATTCATGCCTACAAATAGCTATGAAAAGACTTATTTCACGGTTTTATTTGCAAGAAATAAGATAAAAGTTTTCGATTGTTTCGAAATTAGGCACAGTACCTTCAAATTCAGGCCTTTTTGATTTGTTCTCGTGGTGAAACTTTGTTGTTACTATTTATTCTGCAACGACTCATTTAACAAAAGAAATCTCTCTTACAAACTCAGTAGGTACTCAAAACTGATTCTTCCTACAATTTTACCAGTTTTTAGATTTGGCTATACAGGTATACAAAGACTGCAGGTTCTCATTTTACCTGCATATTTTTATGTGAATTATAGTGACGTGTGATAAGACAAGCATACAAACAAACTGTCTACAAAACTTAAAACTAACATCATATCATTGCATCACTAAAAACTGCATTATGTTTAAAACATTACCTTTTTGCAGGCGACCCCTGAGTATCGGTTGGTGGATGTCCCGAACACGAGGTCGTTTAGTATCGACGCGTAAGGCGTGACTCCGATACCACCGCCTACCATCACTGCCACCTCGAACTTGTACCAGTCTTGGTTTCCACCACCGAATGGACCTTGGATCCTGAGGAATATGGTGATTATGTAAATTGTCTTTTCATGAATGTAGATATTGGACAAGAAAATTTTAAGAGTATTTTGGCAAAGAAACTGTAGTTTCATTTAAGGTAGTAAAAATATGTAAAAAAAATATTCAAACTTAAATTAAAACCTAAACTTCAAATCCAAGAAGGTTCAAAAAGTATTGGTGTTCATAAATTATATGTGATCTTATTTAATTTGACTAAAAATCATGAGTTGCTCACGTAAATATACTGAGAAAAGCTGTACTAGCCGCGTGCGCGGTCGTGGGAGTAAGCTGCGATTCTCTTAATGAGTGAGATTCGGCGATGTCGCGCAGCTTACTCCCATGACCGCGCACGCTGCTAGTAGAGCTTTTCTCATAAGTATATTTACGTGAATTACTCGTAATTTTAAGTTAATTTAGCATGTCTCACGATAGTTATCATTTAATTTGATCATTGTGAACTCTATAGGTGTTTGATAATTTTTAACGTCATTGATAGAAATTTGTTTTTCACAAATTTTGATAATCGTTATGTCCTATAAATTACAGTTACCTAATTTTAGGATGATCTTCGGTATTAAAGTTGCAGGGATCGAAGTAATTCCTTAGTTTCCATGTCCAGGGGCCTTGTGCTTTGATGTGACACGACAAGAAGTTCTCGTGAGGAGCTGACGTTAACGTGAATGAATGGAACTCTTCCTTCTTGAATGCCGTGCAAGATAACCGCACCCATTGACCTGGTAGAAGAGAAGAAAGTTTAGTAAGAACCTATATAGGCATTTTGTGAGTGTTTGAAATATGTGGTAGTGGTTTACCTGATAAATATTTTAGATTCGGTGGTCTGTAGAACTTTATCTTGATCACGTCTGATGGTAACATTTCGGTTTCTAATACATCCAATGCTAAGTACTTTGTTCGTAGGGAGACCACCTGAAAGAAATTGACATTAAAATAATGTAAGATGAACAAAAATGGACCCAATGGCTTTAATAATAGATTTTCTTTGATATTTTATTATATCTTTTTTGAAAATTCTTACCTTATCAAGCGTATAAATAATAGCAGGTCCTAAGAAGAATATCCAGAACCGAGGTGCTCCAGTGAGCCTTGCGAGGCCATGTACGAGGCAGAGCGCATAAAGGAGCACATGTAGGGAGTGTGCGCGCCAGAACCACGGATATGCGCGCTTGCGGATCACAGGGTGCGCGAATACGAAGATTATGCACATTATCACGAATAGTAACACTCCACTCACACCTAAGAACAGAAGAAACAAAATATTAAGATTAGGAGCAGTGTCAAATAAAAAATCTCTTGAAATTGTTACTCTATTTGGGAATGTTAGATATTTTGTTGTTAGATACTGACAATTTAGAATTATGAGAAGACGTTACTAAGAAATAACATTACACCACGCCTTTTTATCCCCGAAGGGGTAGGCAGAGGTGCACATTTCGGCACTTAATGCCACTGTACAATGTAACACCCACTTTTCACTATTTATGTCATGAGTTCCATGTAATAGGGGGTGAGCCTATTGCCATATACCGGGCACAATTCCAGACTCCGTGCTACTACTGAGATTTTTAAAAACCCTACTGGGTTTTTAAAAATTAGTTTTACTATACTTTGCCCGACTCGGGAATCGAACCCAAGACCCCTTGCCCGGCAGTCGCACTTGCCAACGAGTCAGCTACTAAGAAATAATGTCTCCTAATTTTGCATTTTGCTGAAGTAGATAGATATCCTTTTTCGAAAACCGAACTTCGCACAATCATTCTCACCTGTAACAGTTTGGAATACCCAGTACGTAATGCCAGGTCTGAAATCAGACGTGAAGTGTACTTCTTTGGTGAGACAACGTAAGTTCTCTACTGGCTGCGTCGACACGTGGTAGAAGTTCACCATATGTCCTGCCGTGTGTAGTAGAGAGAAGAATAGTGCAGTACATGCCACTATTTTGTGGAACTGTATACTCGAGTCTAGTGGAATGTATTGTTGTATGCTGAATTCCTGTAAAAAATGTTATGTATTGTCAAAGTTTTGTTTCTAAATATAATATTTGGAGATATCTGTGGCTTGTTAAGGCCTATTCTTTTCAGGCTGAGGAAGTCTGTCAAAAATAGTTATTATTCTTCAGTTTTCTTACCTTTAATTTGGTCAACAGATTCCTCGACATGGTCAATAGTAGCAGACTGTAGCAGAAAGATAAAGAGGCAGCAGAACCTCTGGTGATGGCAATACCAACACCCATGATATGTCTCAAGTCTAGATGTTCCGACATGAACGAATAATGTGCAAATCTTTCTACAAACAGTCCGATAGTCACCACGTAGAAGACGAATAGGTAGAAAATGTTCTGTCTGTTCTCTTCTAAGAAAGTTGTTAGGTAGTCCCATTTTAGGAGAAGACAGTGCCTGCAAACGATATTTGATATTAAATTGGTAGATCGCTAACAAAGAATATTAAACCGCATGAATACCGGATGCGTATGAATACATATATACCAATGTCCATTGATATATCTAAGGGGCTAAAGATTGAAATCCTCTTACCTTACCCAGCCCAAGGTCAAAAGATAAAGAAGGCTTTGCTAAAAATAAAAATTGCTTGATAGCGTGGTAATGTGCCATGATTTTAGGAGTGTAGGGACTTTTTGAAGAACCTTTCATACCTGGACTGTTCCATAGGTGGTTCGATATGGAAGCTGGTCATCCTCGCAACGTTTGTAGACGTATCGAGGAAGTTTTGCTTGGCTCCCTTGCAGTCTAAGCCGATGGCGACAAACTCTCCTTTGTATTCCTTCATCATTACTTTGAAGTCTGAGTACGTTAGATGATCTTTATGTTGGAGACCGGCATCCTAAAGAGTAACATAGAATATGTCATTGTGACCTTAAATTAATTCCTATCATTTAAGACACTATAAGATCATGGTTTATTTATTTAAAATTAGCCAAAGAATTGCGTTAAAATATCGGCATAGAGCTATCGACTATTTTGAATTGACTCATTGACAACTTTCAAAAGGTACTAAATTATCTAATAAAATTTTACTTACAGAGAACATGCCGTCAATAAGTTCAGTAACGTGTTCGTCTCTCAGTGACGTGGTCCTGGCGATCTCAACTAGGGAGCGCAACATCTCACTGAGCTCTCCTTTATCAATCACACCGTTACGATCATCGTCACACATGTCAAAGATAATGCGAAGCTTGTCTTCTGTGGCTCCTCGAGAAAATAGGACTACCGTGTCCAAAAATTCCTATAAATGAAAAGTAAAGTTTTCAATAAAGCCCTTACATAATTTATTATTGAATAAAGATGACTTGAAGTATTAAAATGTATGGTTCTTTCTACCTGGAAAGAGATTCTGCCATCTCCGTCTTTGTCGACAATATTGAACATTTTCTTCACGAACACAGCATCTGCTTTCATTCCAAGCGCGCTTGCGAATTCACTCTTTGATAGTGATGTTCTCATTACAATAGACTGAAATAATAATTTGAATTAATTTTATCTTTTAGTAAACAGTTTAATTTGATTGTTTTCCAATTTTGAATTGTATTAAATAAACACTATCGTGAGACGTTTGAGTTCAGATGTGCCATGAAACTAATAGAGCTTTTCTCTATAATATGTAGGGTTTTTTGTTTTAGGCCCCCCTCAGGGGGGATCGTCGGATGACTTCTCCCACCAGTGAGGAGAGAGGGAATGTCAGACTCTTACTGACTAACCACCCCGTTTCTACTCCTGTACTTGGAGCCGGAGCTCCGGCAACCCGTTAATTTCTCCGCGGCTCCGAATCGGCATCAGCCCTACTGGGATCCGTGGTGGTCTGATAGCTCTTTGAGGCGCGCGACGAACGCGACGCGCCGTAAAGTAGTAAAAAGTATTTCGTCACTCACTTCAGGGTCAGCCTCCTCATTCCTCCGATGCCTCTTCTCACCGGGAGCCAATCCAAATGTAATGGCGTAAGCTTCTCTAAAGAAATGTTCTAGTTTACGTTGCCTTCGTTCTCTTGTTTCTGCTGTTGCTAGAATTTGTTCACGGTGACCCTGAAACATTGATTTTAATATATCATTATCAATGTTTTTATGCCATGCTTTTGTATATAGAGAAAGAAAAGGAAAGGAAGAAAAATGGTTAATTTGCACACCGCCATAAAGTACAATACCACACAAAAAAAATTAAACAGTGAAGACGGCGCAAAAACGCCAGAGCTCAGCTTAAATGCCGGTCTAGAAGAGGTCTACACTGTTTTTTTTGCTTTAAGAATGGCAGTGACCATTCTTGGCGATCCAAGTGCTAAAGCTGTCGAAAGTCGACCGCTTTATAAATAATTTGACATTCTTACTTTGTAAATTAAATAAAAGATGATATGCCTATCCTTACCTGGGTCAAATTAAGTGCCTTCTTATGGTTTGCTAAAAATGTGTCCAGTTTGACTAGAAACTTGCGCCGTGAGGCTGCGGAGTCCATTTCTAACACGAGATCATGTTCCCGTGGTGCACGGATCAAGACTAGAGGACGTTTATTCGTTCTGCTTTCCTAAAAAAGAAATTCACGGAGCATTAAATAGTGGACAATCTTGATGTATTGAATTACTTATTTCAGTTTTTTAATTTTGTTGCCCTAATAATGACGTTGGCAAGCAAGTTGAAGATCGCAGTTTAAATTATCAGAGAGCACTGCTGGTTGGCCTGTAATAGTAAGTAAATGCACAGATTGTGCAGTCGCTTGGTCGGCTTTTACGACCTTCGCAGAAAGAAAAGAATTCACCATATGGAAAAATGAATATTTGAAAAAACTAAGATGCTCAAGAATATAACAATATTTACCTGACTCTCAAGAACTGTGAGTTGATCAGTGTGATCCAGTGGTAGGGTTCGTAATTTGTCTCCTTTCCGATCAGTGACGTGTAAAGCGGGTTCTGGTCCCAAACGTAGCTTCACCAGCCTTTTGTGTGAAGCATGCACCCATTCACGACATACCATTTTATCCACTGAACCTGAAAAAAAATAAAGACTATGATAAAAGTTGGTCCATAAAGGTCTTTTGTCCAAGGTTGACTGTAAAATGTAGGCAGGCTTTCTTAAAATCTGCTATTTATCAATTATTAAATGTTTTATCATTCTCTCTCTCCTTCAGTAACCGAAAGTATTGTTACTAACCTTTGTACTGTGCATTTTTCAAGTGCTCTTGTTGGATTTTCAGTTTTCTTCTGCGACTGTTTTGTAGTTTAACCACTCCGTATCCTGCGCCAGCGCAAAGTATTGGTACGAAAGCGAGTATCAAGCAAATGTAGATGTATGCAAACTCGTTGCCCTGGAACAAAGTACAAGCTGTTTTATGCTCTAGTTAATTTTTTTTAGATATTTTTGAAAAGTTATTTAGTTCCCTTACTTACATAACTGTTTAAACTGTCAAACACCAAGCGGTCACCGGTGACCGCAACCTATTGTTCTATAATTGTGTCTACAAAACCGGTACTCGACGAGTTAACTAGATAACTCGATAAGTTTCAAGCCTCGTTTGGGGTTCATAGGCATGACTGGCACGAAACTAGACGAGTTACCTTGTCAAAAATTACGTAAGTGAGCCATAAAACTTCATTAATTGAATGAGTTATCTAAATTAATGAGACGATTTGTTGTGCCTTACTTTTGAACTGTAAAATTACTTACTTCAAAGTAGTCGTAGCCCCTAAGGTACTTGCAGGGTGGTAACTTGGATGCATTCAGCTGGTATGGTTGAGGGCAAGGGTCTCCAGCGCGCCAGTGGAACACATCGCGTTGTAAGTCCCGTGGACCAAGAGACGTACTGTTCACTATTATATCCCACATTGTAATCTGACGGAGTTCCTCGATCTCTTCCTTTGTGAAGATACTGAAAAGATTACAAGACTGCATGTTATAGTGTATCGGAGAATGTAAAATAGTCAAAGCATTTATTTCCATTACTGCTTGACCATGCGCTTTTGAAACATTAAAATTTTATTGTCTGTAAATCTGTCCATCAGTAAAGATTGGCGCTTGTTCCTAGGTTTAGACGATTTAAGTTTATTTCTATAATATCTATCGTGAGACATATTAAATTAACTAAAAATCGCGTAGACAGGCTGTGCGAGACCGCCACGACCGCGCATGAGGAAGAGCCCCACTGTGGCTCGAAACTAGTAGAGCTTTTCTCAGTATATTCACGTGTGTAACCTACAATTTTTAGTTGATATAAGTTTATGTAATGTAGACTCACCCATTTTGTTCATTTTCAAACCAAAATCTGTCAGCGTCTCTGATTCTGGTAAACTGGTCTATTATGATAGCTCTGAACAGTTCCCCGGGATGACCAGTAGATTCCAACATTCCACCTGGAAGAAAAAACATTAATTAAAACCTTATTTACTTGACTAAATTAAATTTTGTAAAGAAGTAATTTTAGCTTACCAATATAAACATCAATGTTGTCAAGTCTTCCATTGTAAGCTTGAATCAGTTTTTGCAATAGATCCGGGTTGTTTTCGAAGAGTTGAGGGTTGATTTCGTTAAAAGTTTTTATTTTCTTCAATCCAAAATATTCTCTGAAATTAGTAACATGAACACCGTTAATATTCCATTAAAATCACTCTGAAGATCGCTTTTATTACTACTAGTTGACTAAACCATTTGTTTACTAAATATTTAGTGAATATTTTATCTTACCTTGCTGTATTATAGTCTGGGAGTCCATTATCTCGTCCTCGCATAATGTTAAGAGCTCCGAGGTCTCTTCTGGAAAATTCCATTGGTCCAAATAGATTGTCACGAACATCGGAACATAGTAGGGCGTCTTCTCTTTCTGATACTTGAGACGCCATTCCCAATAATACTTCTTCAATCGGTACTTGAGACATCACATCCTGGAAAAACGTTGTGTAGATTTTAATTTTAGGAACATCCAGATTCTGATTGTATTAAAAGTACTGAATATCAATGTTATTCTATTCTGTTGTAGGGGTGTCTCCTCCTCGGAGATGACCCGGTGAAAATGGGCACCGCGTCCCGTGACCCGTAGGAACAACCCTGCTCATTGCCTCCTACTAAATCTAAATTCTCATTCTCCTGCTTCCTCTGCTGCTGAATACTCTTTATATTCTGATGCAGGATATTATTATCTACCTCATTTATAAGGATCTTCATAAATAGATGTTCTAGCCGTTTTATAACTTTAGTAAAGGACTGATTGACTTAAACTTTCAAAACTCGTTTCGTCATTTTATTATTCTTTAAGTTTAATCGTATATTATATCAAAACAATTTCTTACTAACATTTCCATCCCACCAAGTTTGGCACAGTCTAATGGCGTCATGTCCTCCAGGAGCTCGTCCAAATTTACAGTTTCTGTCCCTCAGTAGTATGGCGGGTGGTACGAGAGTATGGCCGAAGCGGAAGGCGGCCACTGCGAACGAGTGCGTCACTCCTGGCGCCACGTCCGCGCGGTAACCTTTGTATGGCGGTAGTGGGACACCCAAAAATGCTGGCACGTACTCATTGAGGATTATGTTCTAAAACAGGAATAGAATTTAATATTAGGTACAGTAATTATTTATTTTGCACGTCAAGGGATCATAGGCTCGATATCGCGCTCAGGCAAAAAATAATTTTCTAGTCTTCGAAAATTTTCTGTCGTAGCACGAAGATTAGAATCATACCCCATACCTGGGAAAGAAAAATAGTTTTGCCTCCCGTACGCTATAACACAATTGGTGAAAAGTGATCAATACTGGGTGCTCTTTTACCTTTCTAATATTTTGCAGAATATTACGGTATTTATCCCTATAAACCATACCTGCAAACTAGCAATAACAATTCTTCTTGCGCGTTGGAAAAGTTGTTCGTCACTCCACCCAGGATGTTGTCGATGTACGCGAGCGGCCACTACGTTGTGCCACCGAAGCAGTAAGATACCAAACGTCACCATCGCTGGATTTTGATTGGTACGCGGATCACCCAATACTGAAAGAAAAAGAGAACTACTAAAGCCTGGTGACATGAAGTTAGAAAGCATGACCAAGCCTTGGTGTTCTAATGGTCATAAGTGAGTTATGACGTCACAACTTTGGAATACTTACAGAATAATCTTTCAGGGCTGAGCATCCTCATATAATGCGGTACGGGATTGTTGAATAGAGGCACTCGCTTTGTGTTGCGTAGGGGCATCCCTCCTTCACTCGCAAGACTCCCGTTCTGTACATAGAACGAAAAAATACGTTAGTTTCATCAATTCCTTAGAACAAAATACTAATCGATCCTAACTTTTTAGAAGAGTTTTTGCTAAATCAGTATTTCTTTAGTAGTGTTTTTGTTATTCTGTTGTATATTCCGTTACTTATGTGATTAAGAAGTTTGTGGTTAAAGAAAATTGAGACGTGTGAATTGATTTACCAAATGATGTAGTTTCCATTTTTTGCTATTATTTGACCTATTTCTCACACTTTCTATCAAGGTAAAGATGAATAAATTATGAACAGTAATTAATCAATGAAGCTTGTAATGTGTTCAGTGTGTTCATATCGTATGAGTTACGTGACCTTTGGCACATAGACTTGGCCCGTGGTCGTCTGATGAATGAAGAAACATGACTGATCGCGTACAAATACTTGTTTCAATTACATTGCACAATGAGATAAATTATTCCAAGTTTAATGGTAATAGAAGGTATATATGGAGTTCAGTTATAAACATATTCAATGGAGTCTAAATGTACAAGTTAAAAACCTAGATTACATTAAAATGACTAAACAGACAAAAGAAAATGGAATCTTTTATAGAGGTAGTATTCAACAGTTATTCCAATACCTCGATTAAAAACCTTTACATTTACAACCGTGATTAATACACAAGTTAATTTGATTTTGTAATGTTAAAATTAGCTTCAAGATCGTTTACAATTACAAATTAATTTCGATCAATGAGAAGTTTCATGTTCATCGAAAGTATACGGGCTGATATGTGAAAGTTAGAAAGGTTGTTTAGATGATATTATGAGGGTATGTAGTATAGATATGTAGTTATAGGAAAGTACGTAAAGAGGCAGGCGTGGCTGCTGGGTGGCACCTGAAATGACCTCATTGCATTCACCCACGCCTCACTCGTACTGTACACGAAGCTGCCGTCGATCCACGAAGTCATTTGGTTTATCTGCAACAATATAAAATGTCATACATACGCCATATTCAGGGTCGAACACAACATGTTCGCATTTTTCGAAGTGTTTTGAGTCATGTCTTGGCTACTAATGCGTATCTGTATCATGTAATCAGGTCAAATATTTGTACTTTGTTAAAGAAACTCGGCTCAGTACGACATAGATTAGTCGAAGCTATTTAAATTGATTGTTTTGGAGATGTATATTGACGTGTCCATAGAGTTAGGCATTCCTTGGTGCACGAAATAGTTTGATGACTTACACTTAAAATTCTTGAGCTGCATTCATTTAAAGTGTAGTGCAGAGAATTGACAGCTGAATAATGCAACAGGTATGGGGTTATTGCTAATTTATTCATCGGTGTGTTCTATGGTCGTACTTTAAATAGCTCACGATTCGGAACAGGCTTATTTTGTAAGTAAATACATACATATATCCTTATTGTGCAATTTCTACCGAATTATAGATGTCTGCGATTACTTGTGCATGGTTGATCAAAGTAGCTGCAATTAAATGCCAATTAACATTCCTATTGCGGCTTGTAGTTTTAAGGTAAGGTTCGCTCGTAGGGACATATTTGTAGGCTAGTACTGCATTCGTATGATGGGTGTATCTGGGTTATACTACCATTAAGTTTTATTGCCTGGAATTCGGCCTTCGATGAGCACGGTCCGGCGGAGGTTAGGCAGCGTTTACATTACACTTAAAAATGTGTGTTTTCGTAATTAGAGTGGTGGTATAAAACTGATCGTATAAAATATTTGATTAAAATGAATGCCTGGAAGATATGAGCTTACTGGTAGTATTTTATAAACAACTAGCGACCCGCCCCGACTTCGCACGGGTGCAATATGCATGTATTATACAGACAAACCTTCCTTAAGAATCACTCTATCTATTAAAAAAAACCGCATCAAAATCCGTTGCATAGTTTTAAAGATCTAAGCATACATACGGACATACAGCGAAAGCGACTTTGTTTTATATTATGTATTGATATATCTGCTACAGACAAGTCATTAGTAGGTAATACTTACAAATGATCTTTAGGTATACATTCGACAAATTAAAGAAATCATAACATAGGATATTACGTGTTATTGTATTTCTACAAAGATATTATATTCAGTATTCAATTATTTTTAATGTCCAATAGATACCTTTAGGTTCTGGCAAATGAAACAAGTTAAATGTGGGTGGACGTACTATAACGTAACGATGATGTAGTGATGAATAGCTACCGATTATTACTACTGAATACTAATGGTATAACTGAACAAAATGACGTCATGATTTCGGTACACTTTAGACGGGTTTTATGTGGTCATCGATACGGTTTACTACTGTGCTACACTTGGTTCAAGTTTCCATGTAATAGTGACGAAGTTGTTTAGCGTATATTGATTGTAAAATATAGGATTTTTATTATTTTAGAGTCTTGATTTTATTCTTGACTAGCGACCCGCCCCGGCTTCGCACGGGTGCAATATGCATGTATTATACATACAAACCTTCCTTAAGAATCACTCTGTCTATTAAAAAAAACCGCATCAAAATCCGTTGCGTAGTTTTAAAGATCTAAGCATACATACGGACATACAGCGAAAGCGACTTTGTTTTATACTATGTATTGATTAGACGTATGGCCATCGGGGGTGAAAGCATACAGGCTGCTGGGATTGCTAACACGGGACAGAGCCACATACAATTGACCGTGCGAAAAACAGCTGATATTTAGATCTATACCTACAACTTTTAGAGTCTGACCTTGAGCTTTATTAATGGGGATGATGACAGGGTATAAAAATTAAAAATATAATTAGTCCATAAGTTAGGTAATTAAAAAATATTAGACGCGTATTTTTTTCTTTTGTCGTATAATAAAACAATAATTAGATAAAACGAATCAAAGTTTAGGAGTGGGGGCTAAAACGTCATTTGTTAGTATAAAATGTACTGAGAAGTGACGTCACGCGACATTTCAAATCAATATATCGTCGAAAGTATTCGTTTCTGTAAGAAAATAAAAAATACGTGTCTAATGATTTAAAATAATCTACCAGACGGACATAAAAATAAAAATTACTCGTCTACCCTATTGTCATGGCGAAACATAGGCTCACTGGAAACTGAATTCGTTTAAAATTAAACGGAAAATTTTTTGGAATGAGAGGAATCTGAGGAATAAAACCACTATCACCAAATCCGCACCCTGTTAAATATATATATTTATAAGCCATTTCTGAGATTAGCGTGAACAGAAAAACAGACAAACAGACAAAAAAAAGTTAGTTACATTTTTGGGTTCGATATCGACATAACAATAGCCCCTGCTATTTTTTTATTTCTATTTTCAATGTACAGACAGCACTTTTCTACAATTTTATTATATGTATAGATGTATAGATAGATAGATAGTGTTCGACGTGATTCTTTAATTTGACGTAACTTTTTTATTTATGAACCGATTGACATGAAACAAACACTAAAGCATAACTGAAGCATACCACAATATATTCGTGAAAACCGCATCCAACTCGGATAAGCCGTTTCTGAGATTAGCGTGAACAGACAAACAGACAAACAGACAAAAAAAAAGTTAGTTACATTTTTGGGTTCGACATCGACATAACAATAGCCCCTGCTATTTTTTTTATTTCTATTTTCAATGTACAGACAGCACTTTTCTACAATTTTATTATATGTATAGATAGAAGAAATAATTCAAGTTAGGAATAGCTTATGTTATTTCAACTTGTGTATGTGAACTTGTATGTTTGTAAACGCACCCACGACACAGGAGAAAATCAGTGTGGGGCAACGTTTTTTTTAAAAAAAATAAACTTCAAGTTTTGGATTACACTTAGAAAAAGGACTGCTCTACTGTTACCTTAATGAAAGGTATTCGACATAATAAGTGTTCCCTCATATTATTTGCTTTAATATATACTTCATGAAATTGGTTAGAACAAGAGCCGTTTAAGCTTTGCTTAAAAAGATGATCAAGCTATCTTCGTAAACACATTCATTAAATGCTGTCATGACACAAATTACTTAATCAGTGAATCCTAAAAAGGCAGATATCGGGTCTCATTAACTTTAAATTATATATTTTAAAATTCATGGATAAGCTTATTTGGGAGGTAGGTTGAAACCATGGAATGCCATTAATTTTTTTGGCTTCAATACACTTGTATTGAAGCCAAAAAAAATACACTTGTATTGAAGCCAAAAAAATTAATGGCTGTACTTACATACTATGCACATTCATAGGTAGATAGTGCTTTTTACAAGAAATTTTTATCTTCTACCTAAGAAGTTAGTTACCTGCTCTCGAGGACTGTTAGGACTCTGACCAGTGTTCCGATCATATGCTGCTCTAAGAAACGGCATGTACTTGGCTCCGTTGCATTCTGGGTCGTACATGTGGTCACATTTGTCCACTGGTATGCGATGGTGCTCGATAGGACAGCCCGACTCGGATGCCATTACAATCTCGCCGGTTACGACCTGGCCTGCAAAAAAGCAATCAGATAAAGAAACGTGGATGTATGCATTGCTTTTTTGCATTAAGTGTTTGAATTCCTTTGGGTTAAATAGTTTTGAAACAGTCTACATAGATCATATATTAAATATATCTGTAATTGACTGCACGGTTGGTGCGGTGGCTGGGCAACCGGCTGCCGTGCAACGTGTCGCGGGTTCGATTCCCGCACGGAACAACACTTTGTGCGATCCACAAATTGTTGTTTCGGGTCTGGGTGTCATGTGTATGTGAACTTATATGTTTGTAAACGCACCCACGACACAGGAGGTAATCCTAGTGTGGGGCAACGTTTTTTTAAAAAAAAAAATAAAAAAATTAGTTATATATAATTTATATCTAGGATAGTTTTACAACCTTGGGACAGGCATTGGAGAATAGGGGGTACTGGTTGATCTATTTAAAAGATCTGATTCTCCTGCAGCCAGTAGGGTGGTTTTTCCTGGACACCCTGGATTTTCCTCCACAAAAGTTAGGCAGATTTTGAATGAGACCCTCGTAATAAAAATTATAATCTTACCAAAGAACGCCAATAATGCTGTCCTGTTAGCTAATGAAGGCAATCCATCTTGTCCTCTCATGAAGAGTTTGGATAATGTTCTGGCGCCGGGTCTGTCGACGCCTGCCATCATGTAGACTCCATCAGCGTATGATGCTGGAGTTTTGCGTGTGAGACGACTACCTGTAAACAAAGAAAAGTGTTATTAATGCTATGAAGGTATACCAACGTGTAAAGACGACATAGTCATCTACCAACCTATTTGTCACCAAAAATTATTACTCAGTCACTCGAAGGTTTGAATTGATGTTTGTTAATTAACCGTGTTAGAATTATTGGAGAGATCTGGATGAATTATGTTCCGTTAAAATATCGTTGTATTATCGAAACTTAATCTTTACATTGCGCATTGCAGTAGTGAAGTAATATGTATAAGGAGGATTAATAATAATTAACAATGGCATTGCACGCTATTTAATTTTATGAAGATCATCAAACAAGTAGGAAATCATATCGGCATATGAATAAGTAATAAATATTCTAATGCAATATTGGGTCATAAATTTTATTTAACGACGATTAACAATATTTTTAATGTGAGTAATAAAATAATAACTATTAACGTCGATTAATGTTATCAAAGTTATTTAAAATGGGTTTTCATTGAAATTATTTTTGTCTTTGTTATCGTATGTGCATATGTACGGTTTTTGCCGTGTCGCCGTATGTAATGTTTTTGATAGATAGATAAACTAGAAACTAGATGTAATAAATAATTAATTATAGCCTTTCTACGTTGCATTTCTTTATGTCATTTATCAAAACGAAAGTTGTTTAGAATATATCGTAATTTAAACACTGAACAGACATTAATAAATTTAAGAGCTTTAATGGAGAAATAATGTAAGTTATTTATGTTTAATGAAAAAGGTAGTATCGTTGATGTTTGCACCGATTCTGGTTGTCACATGAGTTATTTATCGCGTGTTTCATTGTAACTGTTTTATATAAATATGGAACTACATGGTTGACTGACACGTAGCGTACATACAGATCTAACACCAAGCCTTATTATAAGGTAGGTATCTATTTAAAAGTTAAATTTAGTAAATAAAACCCAGTGTTACCTATAGAGTAGTCACTTGATATTTGTATACTTATATTTAAAACCGGCCGTTATGTATTTTATGATATGTATCCTGTATCCTGCACATACACTTAAAGTAGTAAATGTATGGTAGCCTGGTCTTTAGTTACACATTATTAGTATGAACACTTATTTAAATATGTAGTACGGTGACAACAATTGTTGTTTGATGTCAGGTAAGCCCACATTTGCACGTTTCAGTCATTTTTAATACACATACCTATATGATAGCTAGGTATCCATCGTCGTTATTCATCTTAAAAAAAATTAAAACCGAAATAAATGTCCAATCATATTTTAAAAGGGTATTTAAATTACCTTAATGTTTACAACAATAACAATAATGCTTACGTTAAATAACCAATGATTACTTGGAAAGTAGGACCGATTCAGTTTCAGACAATCATGCATATTGGATCGAGTAATATCTATAAGAAGTGAATGTTCCGCTCACTATCGTAAAATTGAAGCTCTCGGAGACTGTTCTGTGTTGGGTAATATCCTTTCTGTTATTCCTAAGTACAATCACTGTTGTTATACCTCTATATAAACGTTGTTGTTATACACAATCACTGTTGTTATAACAACAGTCGAATATGCCACTGTTTGATTGGTTATATAGTTGCTGGTTAATTTGAACATTATAACAAGCGTCTCAGGTATTCCTTGATTTGATAAAACGGTACTAATGAAAATGTCATTAATTTTTTATTTTAAACTAGAATATCAAAAACTATTTTATTAAAACCGACAAGGAGATTGAACTTTATTCTGTAGTTATGTTATGTTTTGAATCAAGCTTGTATTTTCAAACTTTAATTCTTTTGTGTGTTTAAAAACAAAAAGGTATGCATGCATTCTGGAGACTAGTTCTTTTTTCTATAACTTTGTTTATATGTATTTGTCACCCTTCCGGTACATCAAGGTCGAGTGAACCTGTACCCTGTAATTGGAGCATATAATGGAAAGTACCAAGAGATAATCTACTCATACATATATGGTGATAATATGATACACATGGTTACTTCAAATTTCCATACATGTTTATGCATTCAAGGTTATAATTGTGGTTACCATATTTAGAGCAAAGAGAACAAAAGGTATAGTGTATAATAAAATGTCTTCATTGATGTGCATTTTTCGTCAATTTTTTTAACTGTACCTAGACTGTAGCAATGCATCTTTCACAAGATAAATATTTGTATAATTTCAAATTATATTCATTTGCGAATAGTTTCACATTCATGCTGCCTTTTACATAATTTCAAAATTAGTAGGTACCAATCCAATCCACAAAAATTTAATAAGTTTACATATTAGGTTTGCGTCTGATATCTTACTCAGCTTGATATTTTACCATATTTCCGAATCGTTTATTCGTTGCATTAATCATTCTTAATTCAATATTTATAGCCTTTCCATAATGGTTTGTACGGATTAAGGCCGGCTTCATACTTTATTTGCGAACAAATATGGAGTAACGATAAAATATTGAAGTTTGAAATACGGAGATATACAAACCGAACTTGAAACAAAGTTAAACTTACTTACTCAACATATTAGTATATGGAAAATAGGAAAATCAACTTAATTAGGTGTTAATAGGACGTCTTAATTAGGCGTTAATAATATCTTACATAATAATATGGTACAACTTTGGTAGAAAAATGGTAAAGATTTGTAACATTTTGTGCATACAGACCTACTAAATCACCTTAATTCGACTGAATTCACATTCAAATCACGCGCCTGCGTGATTTTTTAACGAATGTTAATTTCCAAGAAAAATGACTCAAAGTCAAGCTTGTCTTGTTTGACAGGTCATTGAAAACGACGATTTAACTTTTGCTCCAATTTATCGAAGCCTGTTTTATTTCAATTTTCGATAAACACACAATAGGTAGTAATTAATATTGTAGCTTTAAAATCTCATTATGATTTTTATGATTTACGATTCCTTTTATCACGATCTACACCGTAATTATAATATCTGCTATAGTTTTTATTTAGCTCAATATTTAAATAAATAAAAAAACACTGAATAAAAAGCGATGGTACCTAAATTATATTTTTAGTTTGATGTCTTGAAACTGACTTAACTCGTCGAGTACCGGTTTTGCAGACACAATTATAGAACAATAGGTTGCGGTCACCGGTGACCGCTTGGTGTTTGACAGTTTAAATAAATAGGAGAAATAGAATTTCGAAAACGTTAAATTTTACAAAAATACAAAGATTATATGCAGTAAAATTTGATTTTATTGATAGCCAAATGATTATGATTATGTCGAAAATAATAATTGATAGGAGTCTGGTTGACGAACTAGTCAATCATTAATAACATTTCTAACTTTCACATTATGTTCGAAACAAAGCTGGTTGTTTTACATGAATAGAAATTTATAACATGTCAAAGTTAATACATTATTTGTTAGTGATCATGACAGGACTAACGATGTAATGAGGCGTAAAATTAATTAGATTAAATTATTATGCGCATGTTAATCTTAATTAATTAAATTGATATTAGCTAGGTATAAGATTATTTACGTAGAAGTTAGACGGGTATGTAATTTGATTGATAGGGACAACTCTGTTATATCTGGTTTTATATTACAGCTACGTGTACCTATATAATAAGAGTTATTTATCATATGTGTGATCTAGAAGAGAAATTATGACTTGTTCTTATAGGTAAAGTTGATTTATATGATGATACATGAACAATTGCATTTTTTTTCTAATTACTTTACTATGTGAGCAATTGTAACCAATTTACACTTTTAAGAGAAAAAAAAAATTCTGTTCTATCAAATTGCTGTGTGAGAGAGTTGAATTAAGAAGTGGTCCAAAGTAATATATACGTTTTATTTAAATACTAGCTTCTGCTTCGTATGCGCAATCCCGTTTTCTCCCGTTCCCGTTCGGAATTTTCGATAAAAAATAAAAAAAAGTATTGAATCAAAAGATGACTTATGTCCGTCTCCTGGTTCTAAGCTACCTCTTCGCCAATTTTCATTTAAAACGATTTAGTTATTCTTGAGCTATAAATAGTGTAACTTACACGACTTTCTTTTATATACATAGATATATAGATTTGTTCAGGGTTACAGGAAAGATAATTGAACAAACTTTTTACATATTTAATGAAATTAATTCATATGATTGTACATTAATCTTAAGTGCACTTACCGGTTGCAGAAATTTCTTTTCTTCACATTTAATAGCCAAAGTATTAAAAAGCCTGAAGTTTGATTGTAGCATAAAATAAAATCGTAAAATTAAAATCGCGTAAAGTTTATGTCACGATTGAAATTAATTTATGTAAACTTGCACATACTTTGTAATCGAAAGCATTTTAACTTGTTTTATATGGCGTCCATCGCCATTAATTTTATATGATTTGAATAGTAATGTGTGCTATTAAAACTTTCAATTTTGTCATAATATATGAAGTGAAAAAAATTATAGTTGCGAATTGAATTATGGAATACCAGTAACTCGTTCACTAACGGATTATTGATTTAATATTGATTTGTAACAAAATATACATACATATAGTATGTAATCAATATTTGTTTTTGTTCATAAATTTTATTATATGAATTCAGACTTCGATCTCTAAAAGATGCATAAATAAAGGGGACTATTATAATAGACTAGTTTATCAATACGTCGAGTCACAAAAGGGATTTGAGTGCGCACGTGACGTTAGGTGGTGCAACTTTGTGACTACGAGTATTAGCATGAACCACGAATTAGGGACAAGAAGATTTCAACTCGAACTCAAATTACATACCAAGCCTTATAAACTTTACTCATCATAGTTATTATCGATTGATTATTATATATCGATAGTCGATATTACAAATTGCTCACGATAAGATAATAACGTGCCTCGAGAGCATTATTTGATTATGACTTTAAAAATCCTATAATCATCTTCGTGAATCATTCTCTTCATTTCTTTGACTTTTAATCGTAATTGGTTTTGTTAAATTTATTTCGCACCGTCTTTTATAATTATTTAAAATAA